TATATATATATATATATATATATATATATATATATATATATATATATATATATATATATATATATATATATATATATATATATATATATATATATATATATATATATATATATATATATATATATTGATATCTTTTAAGGATTATACCTTTTCGTTTGCTGTGCTGTAAGTTGATATAGCTTTTATTTATGTATATTTTATTTTTAATTTTTATATAGCTTTAATAATAAAATTAAATTAAATACTGTTATCACTAGCTTTGACATCGCATTTCTCTCAGAAACAGCCAGACACTGCAGTCTTTCAAAACTAAGTTGAAAACCCCTCTTTTTCGCACTTACCTGCTGGTTATTATTATTATGGTGGTTTTCAGTCCTAGAAAAAAATATTATATTATTGATAAAATATCTTAACAAAAGGGTTCGGCTGCAATAAAGCTTAAGTACAATGAAGCCACAAACAGGTTTTGTAAGTAAACAGTACAGTTAAGCTAAAACTTACAGACAAAACACACAACTGTTCATTCTTTCACCAGTAAGACAAACACACAATGTGCATTATATTTTAAAAATATATTTTAGTTTTAGGACTGTTCGACAACTGTTGAATATATATCCTAATGTTTTTCTCTCAATAACGTCCCTTTGACTACAAAGCTAAGATCATTTCTTTTTAAATTTTGTGCAACACACTTGAGTTTTAATGATTATGAGTTTAAACCGCATATTTTTCTGCTATAAAATGAATATATTAAATTAATGTATTTTAATCTTTATTTAATGCAATAATATGTAACATTGTAACTTTCCCCAATAATTTAATTAATGGACATTTAATGCTCCGGTGACAATCTTGCTCTATGATTACAAGTAAGTAGGCCTAGTAATATGGGCTATATAGCATATGATGACATAATATTTCTAGTACAGGACAATCATTAAAACATTATATCTCAAAAACAGGTCAAAATTAATTTCATCAGATATCAGAGGCAAAGATTCATTCAAGTAATTTTGTGCACATTTGATGAGGTGGTGAAAAATAATTAACACACTGAGGACACGTATTATTGTTACAATTATTGTTAAATTTTAATGCGCGCCGCTTGACAATTTGGTCAAGTTTTACACCCCTTATTTAGATAAGGTTTAAATTGGCCAATTAATATGATGGCATTTCAATTTTAATTTTTTTTTTTTTTTGAAAATTGTTTTGATTTCTACATCAATATTTCATTAAACGGAAACAATTAAACGTTGGTGATCTTTCCGTATTGATTTCCCAGTGGTTTAGTATGTTTGATGCGT